CAGGCATGTAGACAATATAATTGCAGGAAAATGGACGGAACAACGCGGAACGTTCCGTCCATATAGATTGTCGAGGCTTCAGACAGGATCCGTATGCATTCATCCATTCCAAAGCCGAGAATCCGGTCCTCTCCTCCGTCATCTAATAGCAGGAAATTCTGCGCGGTGGAGGTTTGGGACCAGATTCCGGCGTGAGAAATCGCAGCCCGATTGGCAGGCATGAGGGGGCGCACGGTCGCTTTGTGCCGCTGGAGGGTTGTTCGGACAATGTTATAGGTTGGCATCGTTGCCGCGATCTTTCCGATATCGCGGGACCCTTGCAATATTTCAAAGTGTTCGGCCAGAACCTCCTCGTAGTCTTCATGAGTCGATTGGCTCGGCCGAGCCACGGTTTTCTCCTTCATGTCAGGAACAGCTTTTCGGCGCATCAAATCCATAGCTTCTCCCGTATGATTAGGGATCCCCTTTTCCATCGCATGTACGGGCTCTGACACCTGAAGGATGCGCATATGTAATGTGAAGAAGTCAGTCTCAAAACAGGGCACATGCAGCGAGCCCCCCTCTCATGCCCGGAACTTCCTTCGTCCACGGCATCTTCCCATGAAAAACACTGCCAAGATTCGACTTCCGATTAGGATCCATATTAGGAACTCCCGGCTGGAGCGCCTGTGACGAATGTCCAGCGCTCTAGGGATGAGAGCCTCTCATTATCACGGGAATCATAAGACAGAGAAAAATTCACCTTGTCGACGATTGCTCTCGCGCCGCACTTGTGGCTTTTGCCGCGTATGCATCGGCAGCAGAGTCACTTTGGTGTTATCGCTGCAGTACAGATAATCGCCAACGCGGAAGAGTGGGTGCCCCCACGCAGACTTCAGTTCCTCAACATCTGTACTCATGTTGATGAGATGAGAATTCAAGTGAAGGATCTTCGCTGAGGCCTCCAACTTCCTTGTCGCTCAAATTTGATCAAACGAATGCCGAATGCGCAAGCGCGGGATCCCGGCGATATATTTTTGAATTTCGAATCCGACTTTCCCTTCTTATCGGGACAAAAACAAAATGACGGGATTCCATATCCTCAATTGAGATTCAAAGTCGAATAATACGATGTACACATACCGTATTTACAGTAAAAGCTCGTTACAACGACCCCCATTACAACGAATTTCTCGGTACAACGAACAAGGAATTTCTCCTCCTTTGGCCAGCTCGCCATAGGGATAGTGCTGAGCGGCATTCGTTACAGCGAAAACTCGGTACAACGAACCAGTTTCGTCGGTCCCTTCGTGTTCGTAGTAACGAGCTTTTACTGTATTCTAATAGAATGGCATGCCGTTCTTTTTTCGATCCCCTAGTCAGTCGTCGGTCGATTAGAGCAGTGTTTCTCAACCTTTATCCCTCCGCGGAACCCCTGAGGGGTTCCCGAGGAGTCCGCGGAACCCCTGGGCATGTATGCCGCAGCATTTTGAATCGCGCTCATGCTTTCGCGCATCTGCTGACTTACATATCGTGCTGCATTGAGACGCTTTTATCGCGATGAGTAGAGACGGATATAATCGTATCATTTTCCGGATTTATTGGTCATGATCAGATTCCGTCCAGAAACGAGAGTCGAGGGAAACTCTGTCCATATCTAGGAAGCTTCCCATGAAGCTTTATTTACAGTAGAGATAGAAACGATATTATTCGAGCGAGGCTCGCGTCATATGCGCATACCTACTCTATTCGTCGAGATCGAGACTCAGTGCGATGGTTGGTATTGAATCTCTTTCGAAAGGGCTGTGAAGTCCGGGGTTCGTTGAGTCAGCTGAACTCGCATATCAGCTTCCGCGTCCAATCGGTTGCGCTGCTTGGTTTTCGTGGCGGCGTATATCGAGAACCCGGTTTCACAAAGGTAGGAGAGGCAACACAATCGGTAAAGCGATTTCCGCGAGCGAACTGAAATCTTTCGCTGCTTCAGCCCAGAACTCGCTCATCGTCCCACAAGGAAAATTTTCCTTGTAGTCCGTTCTGTGCCGCAGTTCAATTAGCTGATCTGTCATGGATGCACTCAATCCAGACGGTAACGCTCCGTGGAAAGGATTGCGGACCCAATCGAACGCGGTCAAATTCTCCATCGATTCTTTCGGAAAGTAAACTTCCATGTTCGAGCACAGGTTGATGGGATGCTCTTGGATTCTTACTCTGACCATTTCGTCGAGATCCATGCTCTCCTCGTCCAGATAGTCCTGCAGAGTGCTGAAACAATCGACGCGCTCTTAAGACATAAGACTTGCACAAATCTCCAGCTTGCTCTTCATTGCTTTGATTTTGTCAGCTGCAGAAAAAACGCTCGTCTCCGGCCCTGCAGCGACGAATTTAGCTCGTTCAATTTCTGAAAGATATCCGTCAAATACGCGAGCTGTTGCAATCATTGTTCATCTTGGAATCTCTCGATGAGGGGAAATGAGTTGTCGAGACCAAATACGACTATTTCTTTCCTCAGTTCGAACATACGAGAAAGGACGCGTCCTCGCGAAAGCCTGCGACCCTCGGTGTGTAGGAGCAACGAGGAATGTGTACTGTCCATCTCATCGCGAAGTATTCTGAATAGCCTCGATTGGAGAGGCCTCGTTTTAATATAGTTGACAACCTTCACGGTCTCTTCGAGTACAGTTCTCAAGGGCAGTGGGATTCGTTTCACTGCCAGTGCTTCGCGGTGGATAATAATTCCACTTCGTCGAGTTCCATCGTTCACTGAGGATAAATAGCGATTATGATCCGTAGGGTGACAAGGCGGTCTTTAAAGAAAACCAGTGAGAGATTGGACGTCCGATATCTAGTTGTTCCGCTCGGCGAGATAAGGTCGTGTCTCAACAACTCAACGACAACCCGAGACGAAGCTTTCGGGTTGTCGAAAAACAAAGAAACATTTTATTCAGATCTGTACCATCGAAACTGATTACGTTACTTCGGTCGAGATTTTCCGACCGTCAATCTTATCACATTTCTTAGCGCGTTTCCTCTACATGCTTCAGTAGGTCATTTTGCTCCATATATTTAATCTCCTCAACTTGTTCCACCGGAGAATCGTAGAATTCGTCGTCGAACAATAAGATGAAAAATCCGAAGCCAGGATCCTCCTTGAATTCTTCCTCAGAGACCTCATTGCACCAATCGCTAGGTCCGCCGTCTCTTTTCCCGGAACACACCGCGTCCTGAGCTTTCGTGAGGCATTCCAAACCTGAGGGTATGGCCCCTTTCGGTCCAAAACAGTGAATCCTCTGGTCTTCAGACCCATCAAGGGCAACACTTATGCCACCGTTTTTGAAGGATTTGGCGATAAGTTCTTCGGGGAGTGCATTCCATGCGTCCACTATCCATTTCAGATACACTTGCATAGGAGGGGCTGTCATGTTGCCTCTTTTCGTCAAGGGCGTCTCGCCTTGAGCCATCCAGTCTTCGTAATATTTGCGAGTTCTCGCCTTGAACGGCGCGTTCCACACAACATCCGGTGCCTGAATGAATTTCGTGCACCCACCAGGCACGATTGCCGTATCGATGCGTAGGATTTTCTTCGTTTCTGAGCTCAGGTGACATCTGAAGCTGTCCCAAACCAGGAGCCTCCTCCCGAACAGCAAAGTACCGAGAATTCTCTTCAGGTACGAGGCGGTTTCATTCATTCTTCATTCATCCAGGTCGTACCGGCCCAACGCAACTCCAAGTCATTCTTGAACTCGTCCACGATGCTCCGGTCGGGCCTTTTCCTCTTCAAGAGCACAAACGGCTTGCACTTCAGACAATCGGATCTTGCGGTCAACATCATGGTGATGCGAATCTTATCATGACCCGTTGTCAGCACAGGTACATCTTTCACGCCTTTCTGGCCACCGTCAAGGAGCCAGCGTCCCAATGCAGCACGATATGTAAGTCAGCAGATGCGCGAAAGCATGAGCGCGATTCAAAATGCTGCGGCATACATGCCCAGGGGTTCCGCGGACTCCTCGGGAAACCCTCAGGGGTTCCGCGGAGGAAGAAAGGTTGAGAAACACTGCTCTAATAGACCGACAACTGACTAGGGGATCGAAAAATAGAATGGCATGCCATTCTATCAGAATAAATACGGTATGTTTACATCGTATTATTCGACTTTGAATCTCAATTGAGGATATGGAATCCCGTCATTTTGTTTTTGTCCCGATAAGAAGGGAAAGTCGGATTCGAAATTCGAAAATATATCGCCGGGATCCCGCGCTCGCGCATTCGGCATTCGTTTGATCGAATTCGAGCGACAAGGAAGTTGGGGGCCTCAGCGAAGGGTGCCTACTGAATCGAGCGCGGCGTTGATTGGAGCGCGAGTACAACTCGAGCGCGGAAGCGGAATAGAGCGCTTCGCGATTTTGAGCGCGAGTACAACTTGAGCGTGGAGGCGGAATAGAGCGCAACGACATTGTGAGCGCACCGTCGTCTTGAGCGCGGAGGCGAGTTCGGGCGCATCGCTCGTTTGAGTGCACCGTCAACTCGAGCGCGGAGGCGAATTGGAGCGCTCCGCTATTGGAGCGCGGTGTCAATCTGTGCGCTCGGGAGAATGGGAGCGCGGTCCAAAGTGAGCGCAGCGTGCCTCAGATCGTCAGTGATATCTTAGCCTTCTTGGAACTCAGTTCCGATTCTAAACTGTACAGTATTCACCCAAATCTTGGTACACCCATCATGCCAGCGCATGTATAGAATTTGCGCGCTAAAAGCCTGCCCAGTGGCGATTCCTCTCAAAGGTCTAAGCTACCCTTCTATGTGGTGAGGGATACATCAATCAGTGCTTTCGATTGAACATCTATTTCATCGGAAGGATCAAGGATTATGAATCATGAATGATGGACAATATCGTTTTTTTCTGGAACACATCTTATCGAATGTCTGTCAACGAGTAGGCGCTTATGAGTTTCGAAATTACAGAGTTCTTAATAGACTGTGCAACATACATGAATCTTCATAGTTTCTGCGACATAGTAACAATAGATTCAAAATGAAATGTTATGCGCAATCGCTTCGAGTAAATCTAGCGTCCCCCGTTGATCATAAGATGACACCAGATTTTCAAGCCTCTTCTTTCGGTCTCGATATCGCTTTTTCGGCACGGTGTTTGATCCCTGAGCGAGGCAATTGTTAACCATGAAGTCCATTTTAGCTTGTTCAGTTATCAAAATTTCAACGAACCTGAATAAGTTCGGATTCGAAGATCCTACTCTTTCAGAGAACGCCGAGTTCCATGCTTCTACTGCGTTGTTAGTTCGCGCTATACCTTCCAGGACTGAGCTATGCACGTTCCACCACTCGTGCTTCATACGAGGTTTACTGCGCTCCCTTCCAACCCATGTGCTTTCGAAATAATTGATGAAAGGAGTCAACATGTAGTTGTTGTCTTTAACGAAGTCCGATCGCAGGAGTGAATCGTACACGGGCAGCAAGTCCCTCGTTGGGACGAAAGACAACGCCGAGAACATGCGAACTTGCAGAGCAAAGTCCGGGTCTTCTCCGTATCGTCTTCGAAGGTCAGGGTTGCTCTGAATTTTCCGCCATTGGCATTGATAAAAGTGGAAAAGGTATCCCAATAATCTTTCCTCGCGCTACAAGATGCCGACCACACCGAGCCGATGCGACACCCTCGTCCCGACTTATGAGGGTTTTAAAATGTCATTAGGAATTTCGAAAATAAGCGATATTGAGACGGCTGTAACTCCCTCAAAACGTATTCAAATGTCAAAAGCTACGTGTTCATTGGAAAGCCAATCCAATTCTCTGCAATTTCAAAATTAAACGTCCGATTCCGTAGATTTTCTGGAAAGTTACGGACCTCCGGAAAAAGAAGAAGACGTTTTTAGGTGGCTCTATTATTTTGACCGCCACTGGTGGCTAACTTTTTAGAAAGAGTAACTTGAGAGTAACTTTTTAGAAAATCAACCGAATCGGTCTTTTGTCCGAATTGAAGAGAATTGGATGGGCTTCCCAATGAACGGGTCAATTTTGACATTTGAATACGTTTTGAGGGAGTTACAGCCGTCTCAATATCGCTTATTTTCGAAATTTCTAATCTAATTTTAAAACCCTCATAAGTCGGGACGAGGGTATCGCATCGGCTCGGTGTGGTCGGCATCTCGTAGCGCGGGAAAAGAGCTGTCGATTCGTCTATTTACTTCGAAAAATCCGTTTATTTGGAGCTGAGAAAACATTCGTCTGCTCTTTGGAAGTAACGGTCAAAAAAATAGAGCCACCCTCCATAATAGAGCTGGAGGTCAGAAACTCGTCTCTCTGATTCTTGCATCGGAAAGCTCGTCTTCCGTGCAGCGGAATCGCTCTTTCATTTCCCGAAATCGGACCGGTTTTCGAGGAGTTAGGAGCTCAGAAAGACGACCTTCCGCCTCCCCTTCCAGCTCTATTAGGGGGAAGGGGGGGGGTTGGTGGCTCTATTATTTTGACCGTTACTTCAGAATAGCAGACGAGTCTTTCCCAGCTCCAGGTGAACGGATTTCCCAAAGTTGGAAAAGCTTGGTAGGGAAAGCTCTTTCTAACTCTTTTATCATGGCCACTTCGAAGTCGATATGGATCAGTCGCGGGGAGGAACCGTTCAATGCTCCGACAATGCTTTCTAGGAGTCTACGGTACGTCTCTGAAGCTTTGGAAGGTAATAGACAGAAGAGGAGCGGAACTGTCTTCCCATCGGGCAGGTTGACGTGTATAGTGTACAGCTGATGGAATATCTCAGGACAGACTTCGAATGTGCCGTCTACAAACCACTCATCATATTTCCGAAGAAGGTTCAAATTGCCGGGGGTTGCGAAGACGCGGATCCGGTCGGGATCACCCTCTCCCGAATCGTAAAACACGAAACTTTCCTCCTTGCCGGTGACCTTCCGGAAAAGAAATTGGGTTTGAGTCGCCTCAGCGCGGTCTCAATAATTACTTACTAAAGAGACAGCCTAACAGAGATGTCGGTTAAGACCTTGAGTCTCTCTGGCAGTTTGAAATCCTCTCTGCTCGTGGGAATCGTCGGCGCAGCCAGCACACCAGCGCGGGATCGGGATCGGCGTACTTGTTGTCGCAGGAGATCAGTGCATGGCATCTGACCCGCGACCGCTCTCGAATTGACGTGCTTCAAACCATTCGAGACCACAGACATTGGTGGGGCCCAAGACTCTCTCACCGCAAGTTCCTTCAGACGATTCATGTTTCGACGAACCTCGATATTTGCGGGGTCGGACCATGATTATGATCGGGAAGACTCTAAGGATTTAGATCGATAATTTTTGTCTTGAAACTAAGCAGGACGAATGCGATCCTTATGAAGACATATACACTTCGATCCCGAGAACCCACCGTGTACGAGTCATTCTCGGTGGTCAGGCGAGCTGAGCAACTCTTGCTTGTGCACCGCCAGTGGGCCTTTGTCTTAATTGTGCGATCTTTTCTATAGACAAACCCCCTTTCATGGAGGAGCGGCTTACCGAAGGTTGAGCCGACGAAATTCAGCGGCATCACTTGTGTGGACTCACAAACGGGTTCTTCCCCAACGACCACCGAAGGCGCTTCGTTGTTCACGACGAATAGAATCGCTCCCGGAATCGACAGTCAAGAGTGTATTCAATAGCTTGCCAATAGCCAATCAAAGTGTAGGCGCGAACATCCATGTGAGACGTATCTCAAACTCGGACGTTTTGGAATTAGGAGTCATGTGCAGAGAATTCATGGGTGCGGCCGCAGACTGTGCCGAAACCCCGCCCGGGGAGGATTCGCAATCTTGGGTCTTTGCTCCCGGACTTGAGAGCCCCCACGAATCTCCTCCGTGAATTCCTCCTAGTTTTACAATTAGCCCTGAAGACTTTCCTTCGCTGTCATCCGGATTCGAACCTGAGCGTCCATCAAGTCAGAAGCTAACCTATTCGGTGTCGCAAGCCTCAGGACTAGCCGTCCGGTCCACGACGCCTCACTGAATACCTCATGGGATCTCAGGAAACTTTCCTAAAGGGGCTCTCATTGAGATTTTGAATCTCATCGCTTCTTGAAGGTGTTCATTGAGCTCTTCCTTGTAGAACCGTGCCAGGGGGAAGCCGCCCGCACGGACCGCCCGCGACCCTTGCCCTAGAATCGCCGCTGATTTTGACTTGTCCGGAGCAACTGAAAATGGCAAAGAACTCCCGACATCATTCGGGATGGATGCCTTCGACATGGGGGCAGTGACAACATCCCCCCCGTGATTGGACTCAGGCCTGATTAGTCTTACGGCGCACCGTGGGCCAAATGGCCGAATTAGGTGGGAAAAATTATTTCACGCTTCGAATCCGACGCTGCTTGTCTAATTCGATGTTCCGAAGCTCGAGATACACGAATTCGAAGCTCCGCTCATCACAAACCCCGCGTATCACGGAACCGGAGCTCGTGAAACGAAATCGTGCGAATGGAATACTCCCCCTCTCCCCATTGACAAACTTCTCATATGATTTAGCTCTCGTGTTCGATGCCTTGGGTCGGAGCTCGGAATTTCGAAAAAGGGAAGCCAGGAGCTGGTCTGGCGCCTTTTCGAGAAAGAGACAACAAGACACTACCGTCTGTCTCTTTTTCTATCACAGCGATGAGATGCTTGCCCGGATTCATTGATGCTAAATTATCAACGAAACAAACAAACGGATTCATCGCGGCCTCGACGGAATTTCTCATGCTTCTTGCGAAGCTTCGAAATAATACGACTGACATCATGCCTCAAATCTCGTCGGTTGATCACATGGCACTCTTCCACGCTGTCCACGCATTGCGAAAAAGCCATCGTACAAGTGAATCTGGACCGTTTTCATCCTGACACTGACGCCAAACATCGAAAAATTGAACCCGCGGCACAGAAATCCCGATTCCTGAGAACAGCAAGTTAGTCTCGAAGGTGTTACGATCCCCCTGTTTGGAGCATTAGAACTCGAGAAGCGCTACGAAGCGCGGTCTCTCAACAACTTCTCTGGGAAGTTCAGAGCCGAAACTTCAAAAAAAAAATATTTCAGCGAGGGGACCCGGGGGGCATGTACTGTATTGAATAATCTACTTCCTCCTGATCCTATGGAAATTAGGTTTCAAAGAAACACTCTATTAAAGACCATAAAAACCGATCGTCCGCTCTCAAATCGTCCTGAATGCGGACTCAAGAAGTACTTCAACTCACGGCGTGTTCCTTTTTCCATTCCGATATCTTTGTCGATGCTGTTTCGAAGCAACAAAACACAAATGAGAAAAATCGCGGAAACAAGCTCCTCTGGAGTCATATGAATCATCGACTTCGGTTGTCTCTCCACTTCATTGTGATCAAAGTGGAGTCGGAAAAGATTGTTGCCCGCGTCTTCCCATGTTTCGACGAGATTCCGACGCTATGTGGGGTGTCGAACGAGCTCAACTTTTGTCTGCCTAATTCGGCTATTTGGCCCACTGTGCGGCGGCCGGATGTCGCAGACGCCCAACGAAACGCAACGCTTTCTTCTTGGCTGCGCTCACCTTCGCCTCCGCGCTGATTTCAGCTCCGCGTTCAAGTACATGAATCGCTGTGATTCGCCTCGGCCCTCGAAGTAACAGCGCGCTTGAGTTGGCGTAGCGCTCAGATTGACGACGCGCTCACAGTCGTCCTGACGCTCAATTCGACGGCGCGTTCAATATCGCTCCCACGCTCAAGTTGGACTCGTGCTCTTATCAAGGCTGCGCTCTATTGACTAGGAACCCAGCGAAGATCCATCGCTTGAATTCTCATCTCATCAACATGAGTACAGATGTTGAGGAACTGAAGTCTGCGTGGGGGCACCCACCCTTCCGCGTTGGCGCTTCTCTGTACTGCGTCGATAAAACCAAAGTGACTCTACTGCCGATGCATACGCGGCAAAAGCGTCAAGTGCGACGCGAGAGCAATCGTCGACATGGTGAATTTTTCTTATGGTCTTATGATCCCCGTGATTATAAGAGGCTCTCATCCCTAGAGCGCTGGACATTCGTCACAGGCGTTCCAGCCGGAAGTTCCCAGTATTGATCCTAATCGGAAGTCGAATCTTGGCAGTGTTTTTCATGGGGAGATGCCGTGGACGAAGGAAGTTCCGGACATGAGAGGGGGGCTGGCTGCATGTGCCCTGTTTTGAGACTGACTTTTTCACATTACATATGCACATCCTTCAGGTGTCGGAGCCCGTACATGCGATGGAAAGGGGATCCCTAATCATACGGGAGAAGCTATGGATTTGATGCGCCGAAAAGCTGTTCCTGACATGAAGGAGAAAACCGTAGCTCGGCCGAGTCAATCGACTCATGAAGTCTACGAGGAGGTTCTGGCCGAACACTTTGAAATATTGCAAGGGTCCCACGACATCGGAAAGATCGCGGCAACGATGCCAACCTATAACATTGTCCGAACAACCCTCCAGCGGCACAAAGCGACCGTGCGCCCCCCCATGAATCTGGTCCCTAACCTCCACCGGGCAGAATTTCCTGCTATAAGATGACGGAGGAGAGGACCGGATTCTCGGCTTTGGAAAGGATGAACGCATACGGATCCTGTCTGAGGCCTCGACAATCTATATGGACGGAACGTTCCGCACTTTTCCGTCCATTTTCCTACAATTATATTGTCTTCATGCCTGTTACAAGGGCCAGATGATGCCCCTCGCATCCTCCTGCCGGATAAGATCAAGGAGACTTACTGCCGGGCATTCAATCCCCTAAAGCGATGCGCTACCAGCGCGGGCCTCGCCTCCCAGCCTCCGAAGCTTCAGGTCGATTTTGAGATTGCGGTTCTGCGAGCAATCGAAGAAATCCTCCCGATCGCCCAAGTACGCGGCTGCAATTCCCATTTGACGCAAGCGTTATGGAGGGAAGTTCAGCATGAGGCATTGTCTGGGCTTTACGGAAGCGATCCAGGTCTCGAGAGGGCAGTTTCAACATGCTCTTCACTGATCGATCTCGTGGTCACAGTTCCTGTGCTCTGCGCAATTATAGAATGTGCGGATATTAATGAATCAAGAGTGGAACCACCAGAAACGGAGCGGATTCGATTCATTTCGAGGACTATTCACCCTCCTTTTCTGCCTGTTCTGCCTATTTTCGGAGCCTATATCGGTATTTTTCGATGCCATCCTGCCTGCATTTTTGCTCGACTTTTTAGTGCCCTAACTTCGCAGCTCTAAAATGACAGAAGCGCTTTTCTCAGGTACATCAGAGGCGTGATAGCCTTAAGCCTCGTGCCGCTGCACCGCCTCGACGACGCCTGACCCGAAGTAGGTAGGTGTAGGCTCCGTAGCCCATGAAAAACTGGTTAGTTTCAAAGAATACTTCATCAGGACCTGGCTGGAGAACGACACAATATTCCCGCGCAGCCTTTGGATTCATTACGGGAACCTTGGAGTGCGCACGACGAATCATCTCGAGGGATGGCACAGTTCCCTGAACGAAAAAATTAAGAGCGCTCACGTAAACATATATGAGCCAAACTCGCACCTCAAGAAAGAGGAGAACGACCAGCGGCTGCAGAGAGTCTTGCTGGATCCCGGAAATCTGCCGAGGCCTGCTAAGAAGAAGTACAAGATACTGAACGATCGCCTAGTGCTCCCATCGGAAACGGTTGAGGTAGAGCTGAAGGAATATCTATTCAGCGCGGCGTAAAATCTTCCAGATGTGATCACGACCTTAATTCATAACCTTGCTCAACCTGAATTGAATAAATATTCGTCGACCGAATAAGACTCCCCCTCTCGGTCGAGGACGTTTTCTCGTGCAGGGCGGGCTATCTCCCCCTGGAATATTCGTCCTGCTCAAATTATTTGAACGAATATCGGTCGACGGATGAATAATCCCGCGACGCTCCCTTGGTCGAATATTGAAGGCTTGCATTTTTAGAGGCAGTTTTTTTTTCGATGTGGCAGCTTTTTCCAGATCGAATCGCAGGTTTTCTTATAGATACGGCAGTAGTTTTATAGAACTGGCAGTTTCTGCAGCGGCAGTATCGACTTTGCGGTATTTTTCATAGATTCGGCAGTTTTCTTATGTTTAGGCAGATTTTTCTCCGATTGCGATTCCGATTGCGTGTCAGTCATTGGATTGACAGGAGAGAAACAACTCCCAATGATTAGGAACACGAGGCATTCAGAGCAATGTTGGTGATGTGAA